ACTAGTAATATATCAGTTTATCTCTTACAGTATTAATAGCCTGTGCTATAGCATCATCTCAGACTGAATTTCTTTTTGAGTGATTCAACTGCTTCTCAAGATGAGTAAATAAACTGTTATACACTCATCAGGCTGACTGCAGCATTGATGTACAAGTGATTGAGACTGTCTTTATTATTTTATAAAACTGAAACAGTAAATCAATTACATATTTTAACTGAGTTCACTTCATATCAGAAAGTTTCAATATCTGAATCTTTTTCTGATCAGAGTGTTACACTCAATGATTAATTATCTGATGCAATCAAAGAGTCTGAACAGTTATCTCATATATTGAACTTCACTGTGTTCTAACATTCTGTATCATATTCAGTGATATGACTGATTTGTTTATTTATTGAATATCATGAAATCATTGTTATTATTTAGAGAAGATACAAATTGCATTAGCAATGTTTCAAATCTGTGATATTTAAATTATTAGTCAATCTATTCAAAATTAACAGTAGTGTTATCAAAAAGTATTATCAAAAAGCAATATTAAAAAGTGTTGTCAAAAAACATTATCTTTTACAAAGTGAATGTAAAAGTTACTTGAGTAATCACTTTCATCTCATTCTCATCTCAAGAATCAGTCATCTCATTATTCTTCATCTTGATATTAAGATTCTTTATCAGTGTTTATATCACAAGTTAAACCACATGAGCAATGCAGAGAATATGACCTTATTTATTATTTCAGAAATACAAAGTCAATTTTTGCTTCAAGCTCTCTATCATAGTGTAGTTATTCACAGCATTATCAGTTGTAATTATAAGAAGACTGAGACTAATATCTCAATAGTCATTTTTAATCACAGTCATTAATATCTCTGTTATATAATTCTCAGTATGACTACTGATCAATGATTCAAATTCAATTAATGTCTCTCAATAAGTTCAGTTCTCATCAATGTAATAACATATAACTCTTATAAATGTAAGATTGTTTGTACTAGTTCATGCATTCACTGTGAGAGACACTCTTCAATGATTCTTCAACTCTGATTCTAGATGTTGTATATTAACTTTGTAGTGTATCTCAAGATTGAACTGAAGACAGAATTGATGTGAAATATGAAGATTTGAATTAAGTATTTGAAGAAGTGTTTGAAATTCAGAGTTTTCAATTAATTGAAGAGAAAGATTCAGAGATATACATATATGAAGTAATTATTCACAGAAGTTATTAGATAAGAGTTGTGAAATCAGAGTACTAATATATAATTATTTTCACATGATTTTCTTCAAATTAGAAAGTTAGTATTATCAAAAATCATTATCTGATAGAGTAACTTACTAGCTCAGTAGTAATTTTCTGATTATTTTTCTTTTATTATCTGCATTCTGATGACTTCAGATATTAGGAAATTTCTTCAGAGCTATGATCAGTTTATGATGAATGTTTCTGAATGAAGTTGCAGTGATTGTAGCAGAGAGATGACTCTTCAGTAATCTGTAATACAATCTGTTGATAATTATTTCATAGTTTATCTTGATATTTGTGTTGAGTTTTTCATAAATTTCATGACCTGGAATCAGATGTGAAGAATGAAGTAATTATTTATTATGATTGAAAGAGAGTATTCTGTATTGAATTATAAATAATATAGACTTTGTGATTCATAGTGATTTCTTGAAGAGTTTATAAATCTTCAATAGAAGTAAAAGAAGTGAAAGAAGTGAATTCAGAAGATATAATAATAATTTAAGAATGATACTAATTTATTTTTAATAACTGATTACTGATGTGTGTAAGAAGAATTAATATAAGAGAAAATAATCTTGTTTCTTAACTTAGTTATAATTTTAGTACTAACTCAGATTGAATATTATTGATGTATAAAAGTAAATAAACAATATTGATTAATCTCTGTCATATTTCTTGAAATATATTAATATTGTAAAAGAGAGTATTATTAAATTACATTATCAGATAATATCATTAAAAATATATTAATATTGTGAATATCAATGTTGAAAAAATGTTGATACTTATACATTATAGTGATTTGTAAATCATGATAGTTAAATATATATATATATATATATTATTCCTGACTTGATTACAACTTGTACAATAATTTTTGAAAACTCAAAATCAATTTTAATTATTAATAATTAAAAACTTAAACTTATAACTAACTAATATAAAAAGAAAAAAATCTACTTTTTCTCTTTCTCATTCTTCTTATCATTCTTTATAATTTACTTCTTATCTTTCTTCTTCTTCTTCTTCTTCTCATCTGAGATAATAATCATCTCAAAATCTCTCTTTACTGTCTTCTCAGAGAAGGGTTTCTGCTGCTCTCTCTCAGCCAGATTAACCTGCATCTCAAAATCCCGCATTTTCTGATCTGCTGCCTCGGGTTCCATCTCAGTGATAAGTAGATTGACATGCTCAGAGAGTAGAGCTGTCTTCTCAATATTCTGAATCATGAAGCATATTTGAGACCTGAATAAGGCCTCAATTCTCTTCTTCTCTGCCAGCTCCTGCTAATCAATTAGAGAACAGAAGTGTTATTAAAAATTATTATCTCTCAATAAATAAAAAACTTATCAGTTTTAACTTCTTTATCTCTGACTTCAATACTCTCTTAATCTTCTTCAATCACTGCTTATTTACAGTAACACTCTTCTTCTCTCTCTCTCTCTTCATCTTGAACTTAAATTATTCTCAGAACTTCTTCTAGTCTCACTGCTACTGCATAAGACTCTTCACTATCTTCTTCTTCAATCTCTCACAGACAGTGTCATCTGTATTATTTCTATACTTAGTTCAGTCTAAATCTATCAGAAGTATTACTTAAAATTGTTATTATTCTGCTTTCTTATAAAGCCTCTTCAAGGTATTATAACATGTCTTGCAATCTGTCTTCTCTCACTTGAACATCTTATTCTTCTCTTTCTTCAATCTGTGATAGTGCTCACGCACCTTGATGGTCTGCAGAACTGCAGAATATTTGAAGAGAAATGACATGATGTTTCAGTGAGTGTTGAAGAGAGATGAAGGCAGAAGAGACAGTCAGAAATGATATAATAATGATGATAATGATAATGATAATAATAATGATAATAATGATGATGATGATGATAATGATGATGATGATAATAAGAATAATGATGAAAGAAGAAGTGCATTGAAATATATTACTGACTTATCAAATATAAAGAGACAAAGAAAATATTAACAGCTTTCAGAAATATACAGATTATTATTATTATTCTTCAATTATAGATGTATACAGTCAGAGACTATGACATCTACCTGAGAATCTTTAGTTCTCAGGGTTTTTCCTATATCTATAGAGTCAACTATTATACATTTATCAATTTTAAATATGCAAAATCAGAAAATTCCAGCTCAGAATACAAAAACTGTTTACAAATTGCAGTATTTCAACACCTTCTGATAGTTTGAAACCATTTGAAAATATTATGACAAAAGAAAAGAGAACATAGTCTTAAAGATAGACACATTAAATAGATAGAGAAAAGAACAGAAGGAAACAAGTACAGTAAAGAGAGACTATAATAAAACAAAATTATTAAAAGATGATGTATAGCTGTTTTAATAGACTATATCTAGTCAATTTCCATCTCTTCATATTCAGATACTTCTGAATTCAGTCATTTTCTTGTAGCTACTCTAGTTTCTGATAGAAAGTCTATTAAGTATTTAGTTCCTGTCTCAGTTGAGAATAAGAACCTCATATTTAATTGATTTAAATCATACTTCTTCTTTAATCTGACTCTGAGACTATTGTATAATGCACAATGCATTACAATATACTCAGGATTTTCATTCACATTGCAGAATGAGCACTCTGTTGAATCAAATCTATCATCAAATCTTTGTATATAAGATTTGAAATAACCATGTTCTAGTTTCAGCTGAATTATAGATGAGAATATTTTCTTTTTACATTTAATTGAACAAGATTTTCACTTTGGTTTTGTCTCAAATCTTGAATAATGTATACTCTTCTTTTGTTTCTGTCAGCTTTCATTTCACTTATTTAAACAAGATTCTTTTATCTTTCTCTTTATGAAAGACCAGGACACTGTTTTTTGAATAGATCTGCTTAATTCTGAACTCTTTTTTGCAGCTGAATCAGTCAATTCATTGTCATGAATATTCATATGAGCAGGAACTCAATGCAGATGAATTATCAGTTTTGATATTCTTCTCTTTTGAATTTTCAAAACAGAGTTTAAAATCAGTTCAAGATTCATTTGATCATTATGAATCTGACTATTTCTAAGTCTTTTTAAAGCAGCTTGACTATCAGAGAATATCCATGCCTCTTTCAAATTATTTCCTCTTTTATGAGATTTTATTTCAATGAGTTTTAAAGCTTTCACTATTGCAAATAGTTCAGTATCAAAGACTTCAGATTCACAGCCTAAATTCCAGAAATCTGAGATAAAATTAATATTATCTTCAGTATAAGCAATGCCTGCATCTAATCTATTCAAATTCTCATTTTTTGAGTCATCTGAGTAGATCAGAATAGAGTCTTTTATATTAATTATAGAGATCTTCTTCAAATGCTGTTCATATTCTCTCTCTTTAGATAGTTCACTTATTTGTAAGTCTATGAGAGATTTCAGCTTTTCTCTCCAGAGAGATATCTTCTCATGATCAATTTTCTCAACATTTAATGAAGAAAATTAATTCTTAATAAGTGAACATAGTCTATACAGTTGAGAGAGCATTTTCTTTAAAGTATTATTCTCATTTCAATCAAGAAATCTATTTCAATCCAGTTCATTTCCTGAGTTAACTGATGAAAATGAAGAAGAGACTCTTTCTCTGATTATATGATTTGAGCTCATCTTCATAACTCTCAGAGTATAGTTTATACAGGCCTTTTCAAATTGAATAGCAGGAGGTGGAATTGAAGCTTCAATTTTCATTGCTTTAATAGGAGATGACTTGAATGCTCTCAGAATTCTTCTCAAAGCTCTGTTTTGTAGACTTTGAAAGAGTTCAGTGAAGTTTTCTTGATTATTTCATCAAACTTGAACTTCATAATCAGCTACTGAGATAATACAGGCTATGTATAACTGTCTCATAGTCTGAAAGAATAGACCTCTCTCAGTATTTGATAGTCTGATTATACTATTCAGTAGTCTCTCTGCCTTGATGATTCTTTGTTGAATATGATATTTAAAATTCAGCTTGAAGTTTAACCATACTTCTAGTCATTTGACATTTAAACCGGGTTTAATCTCTTTATTCAAAAGAGTTAGACTTAGTTCTTTCTCATTAAAGCTGGAAAAAAAGTGAATTAGCTCAGTTTTATTCATATCAAATTAAATTAGATTGATATCTGCTCTAACAAAGATTTTCTTTGCTACTTTCTCAATTACTTCTAAATTCTCTTTGATTGTCTTTGAACTGTAGAGTAGATCAATATCATCTACATAACTTGAAGATCTCACTATTTTCATCTCTCTATTCTTGAATAGATATGCAGTGTATATTGCAAATAAAACAGGTGAGATTGAAGATTCTTGTAATACTTCTATTTTTATCTCAGTTTTATCTTGTTTTCTTCCATCAAAGAATAGTTGTATAATTCTTTTAGACATGAAACAATTGACTCATTTTATTAGAGAAAGTGACAGTTTTAACATCTTCAAAGTTTGAATCATCTTAGACTTTGATACATGATCAAATGTATCTTTTATATTAATAAAAACTGCAGTTGAGACCAGGTCTTCATACTTTGCTACTTGAACATCATGAATAACTGAGAGAACAGTATCAATTACAGAACATTATTTTCTATCTTTCATTTGTTCATTAAATAGAAGAGAATCACAAATAGAGCTTATAAAAGATAATCTAGTAGCTATTATCTTTTCTAGAATTTTTCTCAAACAGTTCAACAGAGATATTACTCTATATGACTTAGAAATTGAAGTCTTTCTATTAGGTTTTACAAGAATTACTCCAGTAGCTTCTCTCCAGCATTCAGAATGATAATCATTTTTTAAGAGATTGAAAAAGAGCTCAAAATATTCATTCTTCAAGTAGGAATATGTGTTTTGAATAATTGAGTGATTAATTGAATCAGGCCCTGCAGCAGTTTTAATTGAACTTGAGAATATTGCTGACTCTAGTTCATCATATGTAAGCTCAGGCCATTCCCAGTTATTTTCATCAATATATTCATGAAATGACATATTCTCCTCTTCTAAATGTGATGAGTTTTGAAAGAGAATTCTCATAAAAGCTTGACATTTTTCCTCAAAAGAATTTGCTGTATATAATTCATTCTGAAATTCATATTCTAAGGTTGGAAGCTTTGCTACACTTCTTGTTTTAGTATAGTTGAAGGCTTTGAAAACTTCTTTTTCTTATACTTCTTCAAGAAATTTGTTCCAGCAATCTGTTTTGGCTTTTTTAATATCTGAAAAATATTCATTTTGAATAGCTTTGAACTCTTCATCAGATATTAAGTGATTCTTTTAATCTCTCTTAGCAGTGACTAATTGCTTTCTTTTAGAAGTGATATTCTCATTTCATCAAGATTTGAAATACTCAGAAGACTTTTTCTTTGAAATATTTTCTTCAATACTTGTTAGAAGAATAGATGTAATCAGCTTTGCTCTATTCTTAAGCATTTCATTTGATATATCTTGACTTTGATTTCAATAGAGCTCACTCTGTCTTTCAGATTTCAGCTGTTTTACTCTTTCTTCAACTGCTTTTCAATCAGCTTTTGCAAAGTTATACTGATTAGAGAGAAGAGGATTTTCACTTCTTTATTTTTCACTCAGTTTAATATCAAATTGAATGATCTCATGACCTGATTCTGAGATTTCATTTGAATCAATAAATCAGTTTATAAGTCTTTTTTCAATTAGATTTTGTGATATGAAAGTTAGATCTATAATAGATTTCTGTTTCATGCCTTTTCTAAAGAATGTTTATTGATCAGACTTGTTAACTAAATCTATTGAATGCTCAAAAGTTCATTCAATCAGTTTATCTGCTCTTACTGCTCTTATGCACTCTGAGTTTCATCAGAGATGATATGCATTGAAGTCTTCTGCAATTATAGAGTTTTTTAAGAGAGTTATATTCAAAAATTCTCTATCAATTATTCAGGTATTGTTGTTTTCTTTCAATGATTTTTCATTATAGATATTTATAAGTTGAATAGTATCAAACTCATTATCTTTATCTATAATGTCACTCACTAGAATGTCAGAGTCAGATATGATATCAAATCTCAGATTAAATTGATATCTTGATCTTTTTCTCTCATAGATTGCTACTCTTGATTTTATCTCAGATTTTTCAGAAAGAAAGCAGTAATAGCTTGAATGAGAAATGATGTACTTTTACTCAGTATCAAAATTTGATTCTTGAAGAAGTACAAAGTCAACTTTTTATTCAAATGCAATCTGAAGACAAGAATAAATGCAATTTGAGTTTCTATTCATATTGTTTTGAATAAATGTGATTTTTGAAGAGTTTTTAAACTTTTTTTGTTGTTTTTGTTGTACATTCATACTAAAAGAGAGTGAAGATATACTAGAATCTAATCACTATCACCAGATAGTAGATTATAACTATTTTGAAAAGCAGGAATCTCAACTGCTTGCATTCTATCTAGTTTATTATCAGAGTCATTTCTCAATTCTCTAATCATAACAGATGTTTGAGAATTCAAATTCTGTTTACATTTAGCTGAAGAATTGAAGTTTGAAGATCTAGATAGTTGAGAGTTTCTTCTTTTTAAGCTTGCAGTTGTGAATTTACTAGCTTGACTTTTCTCTTCAGTTTTAGATTCACTTTGAGCTTCATCTTTTCTCCAGTTCTTCTGAGTTCTTGAAGCAAATACACATTCTTTTAAGCTAGATGCATGTTTTTCTTTACAATTGAAGCACTTAAGCAGAGTATGTTGACATATTTCACCTCTTTTTGAGCATGTTTCACATTTATGCTCACTAGTTTTGTGA